ATATATATATATATATATATATAAATATATATATATATATATATACATATATATACATATATATATAACGACGCGTAGAAAGGTCCTTTTTATATCAGACTTATGCCCATTTCTACCAACTTTGGTTAACCAGCCAGTTAAGTTAACCAAAGTATAGAAGCATTAGTCTATAATATATGGAGTAAACTTAGTATAAGAAGTAAGCTTAGTATAAGAAGTAAGAGTAGGAGTAAAAAATAAAAATAATTTATTTCACGGCTATACTCACGGCTAACTCTCTTATACCAGAAGTATTTCAGTGAAAGAAACATTTCCAGTATAAGAAAATTAAAATATATAAGTATATAAGTATATAAGTATATAAAATAAATTACTTTTTTTCTTACTTCTTACATTCTTACTTCAAGCTCCATACATTGTAGACCAAGCCTTACATGGAGCACTTTTCGCAATGTTAATCGTGCAGTTATCGATGTGTCGCAACGGTTAATAAGAAGCAATCTAAAGGGGTTTTAGCTATTTCGACGATTGTTAATTATAAAGTTACATTTTAGCATATTTAGAATAAAGAAAAAGAATATAATTATTAAATATAATTATACGAGTTCTGGTTGCGTGTTTAAGAGAGAGCAATTTTATATAACGGTTGCAATAAAAATTAGGTAATTACTATACAATATCTGCGCGTTTTTCTATGTATTTTATGCGCGAGTGAACGATCTCTCTGTCGTCATTTTATCATTTAATCCTGCTTAATCGGCGGTACGGCTTTTGTCGAATTACAGATACGATCGGATGATGCGCGGATGATGATCGGATAAATTTTAAGATATTGTCAGTTTTTATACTTCCTTCTTATAGGATGCGCAAGATGTCACGGAACTTCGCGTATTCCGCGTTTGCCTTGCGACTTATTTTGTGATATAATTCTGTCTTTGTATTATTGTTTTCTCCCTCCTCCCTCCACCTTTTTTTCACTCACTCTCTGTCTCTCTTTTTCTCTCCCTTTCTCTCTCTCTTCCTCTTCCATTGTCTCCACTAACTGGAAGCTTATTGAGATAACACTTCCAAATGTATAATTGATACTTATACCGACCATATGATCGTATGTATTCTTGGCAGATAAGAGAATTTGCAAATAATAGCGTAAATCCGTTAGTAAAGTAAGACAGACCAGTGTGATAATATTGTAAGCCGCGCATTGTTAATGTTCGTGTGCGCTAAAGGAGGTATTTTAATAAAGATTCCAAGAGACACACACATTTTATTGCGCGGTGTCGCACGCGTGCGTATGCGTAGCGTAAAAACATTCATTCGATCGCAATTTCATATACGTCATCAAGAATGATGCCTTAAATTTTAGACAATCCGAAATTAGCTGTGTAATCCGCGTGAATTCACGCGTGTGTACGTATAAAGGATTAAATATATACCGTGTTTAAGGATTAAATAATCCGTCTTCTCTGACTGTACAGTTTACATTCTATATACGAGTCTGTCCTTAAGACTATCTTACAAGAATATTTCTTACTACTTAAAGGCGCCCAAGATCGACCACGATAACGACTCCCTTAATCAATATCTTAACCCCTTTCAACTATATATTACGGCAAAGAGGCATAACTTATTAATTTCTGCGACAGGACTAAGTCTGTCTGAATCTCCGTGCTTGTATAATATCCCAGATAGGCGGTATGAGCCAAAAAGATCCGCCGAGAAACTGCAGGAACGCGACTATCCGAAAGCACACGTCTTCACCTGTAGTCACCACAAATTAGCGCATGTAAGAAGAGTTTAATTGAAATTTTTGTCAAGATAAACTAGTGCCACTCATACTCACTGTGTACAAAACAAAAGGCCAACACGCCAAGGCCGACGAATGTGGAGAACAGATTGCGTGAACGAAGAGTAAACTGATTCCCTAACACATCGCAAAGTGTTGAATCTTGGCAGGTGAGCAGGCTGTTGATGCAGATTCCGCCGAACAGCGACAAGGTGAGGAACCAGTAGTAGTCGTTGGCATAAGTTAAACCTGAAGGGATCAATCGTTATCAATTCAGAGAATAGCGCTTTTGTCTATTCCTAAAATTTCTTGGAGTGAAATTTTATTTGAGAGAAAAGCATGACGGGAATTTGAGTTACTTTTTACTCATATAAGGCGAATTTTCTACTCTGAATTGTCAAGTGAATATTTTCAAGTGAAAACTGAAAAGTGAATTTGACGTATTCTACAATTACAAGAACAGATTCAACTTAATTGAATAGTCATATTGAGTTAAAATTTACTCCAAGTTTGAATAAAGTATCCATTCTTGCGATTTCAAGTGGCAATATTTTCACTATTGCTTTGAGTAAATTCTCATTCGTTTTAAGTGAAATTCTATTTCAAGAAATTTGAAAAGTCGAGGTATCCGAATTTGAGCGACTTTTTGCTTATACAGATTGAATTCTTCATTGCGAATTATCAAGTATTTTCAAAACTAAAGAATGAATTTATCGTATACAGTCGTAAGAACAGATTCATTCCAATTGATTATAATTGAATTGATTATAACTAAATAATCACTCATATTGAATTAAAACATACTCGAGGTTTGAGAGAAACACTCACTGTTACGATTATAGGTGACGATATTTTCACTACTGCTTCGAGCGAACTCTCAACTCTTTCGAGATTGCACTCTAAGAATTTAAAAGGAAATATCTGACAGATATTCGTTGTCGTCGCCCGCGAGAATGGAGCGCTGATGAGTCGCATACCTATTAACACGAAACCGCCGAGCCAACAAGCTGTGCCAAAGTAAATTCTCCTGTACTGTATCGTGGTGATGGTCAACCAGCAGCTGCTGACACTCGGCAGGAACGTGCCGAAGCCAGCAACGACCAACAACATCATCCAGTCTGAGTAGTACGTGGGCGACGCGCGTTTTAAGTACAGCGTGGGCACCAGGATCCAGAAGAAGAGCGTGCAAGTCCTCATGCTGATCCATGTGACCAGAGCAGCCCAGAATCGGAAGTAGCGGAGCACACGGAACTCTTGCTGCCACCGTTTGCCCAATCTCACGTTCGGGTTCACGAACAGCTCCACGTCCTCGTCCTCTTGAAATGCGTAGATGCTGTTGACCTCGCTGAACAACGGCGCGACATTCCTGTCGTTCTTGACGGTGTTGTTCAGATAGTTGACGTTATTATTTGCGCTGTTGCTCTGATCGTTCGTTTCTTCGGTGATGTCTGCAGGTATTCTGATGCCAAGTTCGGTGTCTTCGTCGCCTGACAGAAGCAATCTGTCGATGAAGAGACGTCTCGTTATTGTATGACGCTCGTGGATCTTCTCGGAGAAGATCTACGATTGAGTCAGGAAAATCGCAGGTGTTTCTGTCGATACTGACATTTTAGGCAAAAGAGATATTCTTTTAAATTATAATTGATACTTTTTTCAAAATATCTTTAGAGAAAATTTCATTGAGAATGAGTGAAAATTCACTCTAAATGATACTGAAAACGCTCTTGTGTCTCTAAACTTCTCTCTTTAAATTTGTTTAATAAAATTTTATTTGAGAAATAAAGTAAAAGTCACTTCGAGTGATTTCTTATTCACATTGAGTGGATTTTCTATTATAAAACATGGAGCGAATATTTTCACTTGAAATTAAACAGAATAGCTGCTGTGTTGAGTGAGATTCCACTTCAACCAATTTACCAATTCCGACAGAAACATTCGGGATCTCCCATTACAAGTGAATGCTTCAGTCGATTGAAGTGAATTTCACACTTTTTATTCTAACAACGGTGGAGCGTGTATCAGAACTTTTTCAAAACCCTTCAATTTCAACCGCAAATATTCGCTCGACCTCTTCAGAGTGGAAGAATTCATTCCACACGAGTGAAGAGTCACTCGACCCTGACTGACACGGCTGTCACTCCATTTCTACAGTGGAATCTCACTCGTAAAAATTGAGAAAGAATAGATTTGTCGTCACAGTTCTCACATAAACAGCATATAAAGTCTCTGTGTCGTCACCTGTAAGGAGACGCTCGCTGCGGAGCCGGCGAGCGCAAGGTCAACGTGCCCATGGCTGTGGGAATGAGGGCGATGGTCATCAGCAAGAGGCCAGCCTTCAGACCGGTCACTCTGAGGAGGAAGTGCGTGAGCGCCGGCACGAGCGTGTAGCCGAAGGAGGCTGCGATATTTTTCAGGGCCAACACCAACGGCAGCCGCACACGGAAGTGCTTTCGCAGGAGAGTCTCGCTCTGCACGATCACGAAACTCGCGCCGATACCCATCACCGCCCCCGCGCTGAGGCTGGCCAAGTAGGCGCCTACTCCGCCGGTCGCCAGGTAGCCGGAAGCGACGATGCCCGTGCTGAGGAGAGCCACGCCAATGAGACCGACCACCCGCGGTATCGACGCTAAATCCGTGATTGCACGAGTCCATGGATCTAGATGGGGAAGGAAAGAAGAACGGGAGGACTCACAGAGAATCGCTCATAATAGGCAGGATAAAACAATCAATTATTGATATCCAATTACTGCCAGATAGACAGAGATGCTGAACATAGCATGCAAGTATTCAATGCATCCTTTGTTACGCTATTTCAACAGCATCTACGTGTTTAAAATATGTTGTTCTAAGAAGTACATCTCATTAGATCATATTTGGGGATACAAAATGTTTACTTCTAAAATTACTATAATAATTTCGAATTAATTGCCGGTTCTCTTGCTGCCAAATAAGCAGCAATTTTCAGAAGACATTAGATGTCTTCTTTTATACACTATCAAGATTCTTGTTATACAATTGTATGAGAAAATTCTTGTATAATTCTCTGCATAATTATGCTACAATTTTCAATTCTTAATTCAGTCATTATTCAATAATCACTTCGATCGACAATATGTCAAAATATGTCTATCTCAGTTAACCTTACTCATCGATATTTTAAAAAAGCCTGGCCTTTTTCTTGCGAGTAATAGTAGTTGTTCACAATTTTAACTGTGAAGTTCTCTTTTGGAATCATTGAGTGCAGGCAAGAAGTTTAAAAACAATGCTGGTCGCAAGAAAAACCAGGTTTTTTTTAGAGAAACAATGATTAAAGAGACATCAATAACTGAGTGTTTTACGATAGATAAGTTTAATCTACTCTGGGGTAAAATCTCTTCGCGCGGAACTAAACTAGAAGAAATGATAGTTTGTAAATAAGGCGCCTTATGAGAAAAACTAAACTAATTAAAACATTAAGATTTTTAACTTAAAATTTAAAGATATTAATATTAAATAAAAAAAATTTAAATATAGAAACTCGATATTATAATGTTTAATGGAAAAGTAGAGTTGAGATCTATTTGACTTATGAGAGAAACTAAGCGAAACTGAAATTTCGATAAAGATATACAATAAATCGATGAAGTAAGTCATCAATCTAATAGTAGCAATATGCAAGGTGAAGATTATATATGGATTATATATAGATTATATGTATAGAGAAAGAGAAAGAGAGACAAGCACCCGCCAAGCTCCAGAAAGCGACGAACAGTATCGGCGTTAAGGTAATCTTCTGACTCCAAAGGTCGAAGTTGAGTACGTCGCTCTTGGCTAGGTATCCCAGTACCACGCCATACATCGACAGTATGCTGGGTACGGTGATCTGTGAATCACAAACGACGGAGAATAATCTGCGGCGTGTCTTTTTTTGAACAGAACTTCAAATCGATATTTAATATTAACTCTAGAATTTCTCCTAAACACCAGAAAGTTACGTAAATCCTAAACATGGGTAAATTTTATCCAGCGCATTTTCATTTGCTCATAACTTCTGAAAAAACAAGTGAACTATAATTCTTTTTTAATCAGTGTAAAAAACATCGAGGAATATGAATCTGTTGATGTTTTCGCGATTCAATGAACTTCAAAGGAATTATGATGAAAAAACAAAACACATATTTTTAAGGATGATCACGTTTGAAAAGTTGAGTAAATTTTAGCCATATTTAGAATTAATTAAATAATGCCTTGAGAAGCAATTTAATATTGATATTACAATATTTACTTGGAGATTAGGAAAATATTTAACTGAAATGGAATTGATCAGTTTCGTTTCAGGCAGATTCAATTGCAACTTGATATCGCCGAGTAACTTCAAATATTCCTGAGTGGCAATTGAGTAATGAATTTGCGTCGTTTCAGTTATCTTATATTTTCAAAGTTTCCTCTCTTCTCGGAAGAGAATAGCCCACGATGTTGTGGAAAGCACCTGTCGTTGTTTGCGCATGTTAAACAAAGACAGCAGATCCAGCGCGAACGATAAGTCTTCGATACGATGAAAGATGCACCTTTGAATATTATTCAGCGTATTTTCAAGTACGCAGCGTCGTCGCGCGAGTGTCGAACGGCATCTTTCGACTTCAGCTGTCCATCTCGTCATCCGATTGATTCCACAAGATAAACCCGCAGAAGTCGACCATTAGACGGTGACGCTGCGCTGGTTGTTTCGAGTTGGTCGCAGTTGCGAGACGCGAGTGGAAGCGCGCGACTTCATTTCATAAGCTGTAAGCACAAGCGACGAGCGAACCTGAATGAAGACGACACCGAGCAGAACGACCCACGAGTAGCCGCCATCTGGTGCAGTGGGCCCGAGCTCTGGGAACGACGTGACGACTTCGTCGAGACGAAGTCGCTCGACCAGCGACATGTTCCTCGTGTATCCGCTTGCGACGCGAACAGCTACGAACGACAGCGACGATGACGACGACGGCGGCGACGGTGAGTGACCGCTAAGTAATCGGCAAAATATTCGCGAAGGCGGCACCGCGACCACCGGCTCTCACCTTGGGAAAAACGGCAGGCATTAAGGCAGTTTAAAATGTACTGCCTGGCGATATCTAATCTCTCGGCCAAGATGACGACGCGCGCCGATAGCTGTTGATAAGAAAGAAAAACCGCACGCGACTAGCACCTGTCGCACCGTCGCTCTCGCGCAAACTCAAGCCGCGCGGCCGTTCATCCATGATCCTGACCTCGCTCTTGCGACTAGTGCCTCCTGGTGATGCGCACTCTTACCTGAGAGTGTCCTGCCGATGTACGTGGGAAAGTTATACGCGGGAACGCTCTAGTAATAAATAATACATTTATTCGCAAACGACTGACGATTACATCGATGTCGACTCGTTGAGACAGCGTTATAGTCGAGCCTTTCAGAGGATAAATTGACCGACTCCACTCCCTGCGAATCTCTTCATTTTAGCAGCCAAGCACGTGATCAGTGCTCATCTGCTCAAAATTAAGAAATTTGATGTTAAATTTTAATGTTTTAAATGGAAATTTAATGTTGCCTTTGTGTAACACTTAATTGAGAAGTGAAGTTGATCAGTTTGGCATCCGAGAGACCTAATTGTAAATTAATATCATACGGCTTCAGGTACGAATATACCCTGCTCGATACCTGAATGTGTGAATAGGATTTCGGGATGTATCGGGTTCGTCGAAAAATGCGGTTAGATTTTCTTTGCCTTTTTCAACAATGAACAAATGCGGCTGCGGGACGTTGTTCCAGCATCATAGCGTCATAGCAACGACAACAATGTCATAAAACGTAAAAAAAAATCCTAGAGAGCGTAAACGTCTAAAGATACCTTAAAGACGTCTTTTGGATATTTCGAGATATTTTGCAGAAATTTGTGTTGGCTTATTTGGTTGTCAATGAATTTGTCTTCATTGAATATCACCAAAGTTGCAAGAACATCAATTAAATTTTTCTCAGTTAAATAATTAATTTGAACCGATACGTTTCAATTCAACCAATTGACGGTGGATTAGAGAAAAATTAGCCGTGGAATATTCAATTGACGATTGATTTCAACAGATTCAATTCAAGGTCCTTGAATTGACGATTGAATTAATTTTAATTTAATTGACTAAATATAAATTTTAATTAATTTTAGTTCAATCGAAAAAATATGAACTTTTATTCATTTTTAGTTCGTCTGAATTTTAATTCAATTTAATTTCTCAAATGTAGAGAAATCTTTAATTAAATTGCCTCATATTGATCGCTAATGAAACACACGATATAATTATTTTAAAAAACTAATCAGTTACTCGAAGTACTGTATACGATAGAATGGGATTGACTCGGAGATTAAACCTGACTTTTCGACTGACTAATATTTACTGCGTACATATACGTGATATCATCAGCCGCACAATGGAGCTGCCGAAGCGCTCGCTCGCGTGACGTTCGCGCTTCGTCGTGGACGACGTCGAACGGTACTGCGACGCGCGGCGTTTAATTTAGCAGAAAACGGCGATGCCGTTATACACCGTCGAGCCAGAGTATTTCGCGGGATATTTCACGAAGCTCCTTCTTTCGCGCTGCCGAACGTAACTCGCAATTAGCGCGCCCACGGAAATTACTTCACACGAGCGGGTCGGCTCGCGTGAGCACGCGATACTAGCTTGCGGCACAGAGGCGACGATACTTGTGTTATAATCTTGAGATATTTCGTTCGCTGGAACGCACAGTATGTCGTTCACACATCCTCGCGGGCGTCGCCGGTCGCTATCGAGGTGTACCGCACTCGCTTGTTGACCGAGTCGAGCGCGATCGGCCCGATCGTGCCGATCTTCTTCTGAAGTACTGTCCTGTACAGGTATAGCAGCACGCATATCAGGGCGACCAGCACCATGAAGAGGAAGGCGAGCAGCACCGTCGTCCCACGCCGAGTGGAATCTAGCAGTTTCGGTGCGCAGTTCTTCGTCTCGTGAAGTTCGCGGCTCACATTGCCTGACGTGAGAAACAGAACAGATATATATATATATATATATATATATATATATATATATATATATATATATATATATAAATGCATTTCTCAATAGAAAATCAATATGAATTTTTATTAATTTTAATTTCAAATATGAATTTTAACTCGACTTTATTTCTCAAATGTAAATATTTTAATTTAATTTAATTCTTCAAATGTAATATATATTTCAATTCAATTTAATTTTAAATACGAATTTATCTTAAAATTAATAATTTATCTTAATTCAAATAAAAGAATATGAATTTTAATTTTAATTTCAAATATAAATTCCAAATCAATTTAATCTCTCACATACAAATTCTAATTTAATTTAAAATATAAATTTTGATTATTTTAATTGAGATATCAATTCTAACTAATTTTAATTTTAAATATTTCAAAATTTCAATATAGTTTAATTTCTCAAACGCAAATCTTAATTTAATTTAATTTATAATATGAATTTTAATTAAGTTCAACTCTCTAAATATGAATTTTGATTTTAAGTATAAGATTATAGATAAATAAGCTATTATAATTTCTCTTTTAATTCTTCACTCGAATAATTTATAATCTAATAACATTTTTAAATAACTTTTGCTTATGAATTTATAAATTTATTTTGTCGTAAATCAGAGCAATAACACGAAGACTCGGAATGAATTGTGGTAATCACCTTCGCGGCACTGCATCCTAACAATGTTGCGCACGAACACCTTCGTATTCTTCATCCACTTGACGAGCGGGTTGAGCATGCAGGAGCACTCGAAGGGATTGCCGGAGAAGTCCACGGACACATCAGCCCCGCGGTCCTTGGCGAGATTGTCCATGGTGTGCAGATCGCGCTCGAGCACTCTGAAAAACCTGTTCCGCCGCAGATCCAGGAAGCGCAATTTGTGCAGGCACGACAGGTTAAAGTGCAGCGCGGTCAGCGCGTTATCGCCCAGATAGAGATCCATGAGATTCGGCAGGTCGCAGAACACGTTAACATCGCGGAACTCTGAGATCTCGTTCTGCTCCAGGTGCAGTTTTATGAGGCGCGTCAGGTTACTGAGGAGATCATTGCCGTGCCGGGAATTATCCAAGGCCTCGTTTTGTCGAGATGTTAAAATCAATCACGTGATAAAATCGAAAAGACATACCTGTTGACGAAGATGTCGTGAAGCGTCGACGCCAGATTCCTCGGCGGGCCGTCCTCGAAGGCGTCGGTCAGGTGCAGCTCGAGGAGGGACACGAAATTCGAGAACACTCGGGGATGACTTCTCGCTGGATCCAGTGAGAGCTCGTTGAAGTCGAGTATGAGCCGCTCTACATGCTGAACGTGATGATACGCCTTGCCGCGAATCTCGCGTATTTTATTGTTCGACATATCGATCACCCGCAGGTACGGTAGGCTGTCCAGGGTGCCGAACACGTTCCACGGTAACTCCTCCAGGTCATTGCCCGTGAAGATGAGCACCTGGAAGTGGAAATGTTAACGGTAAAAGCAAAAAAAGGAACAATTGCAAACACCTCAATCTTAATTTGACTGTCTACGTACTTGCGTCTCATTAGGCAAATGCGACAGCGGGGAAACGTCGTGGAAGCCGGTGTTCGTGCAGTTTACGATGTACTGATGGTGACCGTCGTAGCACGCTCTGAGACAGTGGCAACGATTCTTAAACGCCGGGCCGCACTCAAGCCTGGACGACTCCGACGTCTCCAGAGAATGGAAATTGGGATCTTCGCAGTCGCTGATCGACTTGACGATCGACGCGCATATCAGCACGAGTGTCGAACGGAGAACGACGGTTTTCATCGTGGCTCTGGAACACATCGGTGTGTGATTTCGCGACAATTCCAGCGGCTGAACGATGACTCGGCGGTGAGGAGGACCCGAAACTTACGTTTACGATCATCCGAGCAAAAGTGCCGCACGAAATCCGTTATGTCAGCAGAAAGGAACCTCGCGCATCGCGCTGCCAATCTACAAATTCACACACCAGAGTTATTCAAAACAAGTTATTGAACCGTAAGTTGAGAATATTGAAAAGTCATCATAGTCAAACTACTGAGAAATCGCATATGGTAGTTAAATCTTTATAAATGGTTCTCGCGTCACATGGTGTGTAAGATTCACATTCTCATATGCCGTGTAACCCGAGAAACGTTGAAGATTCACGATTGAATTAGTTTTACATATACGGACTAATATTCTGGTTCTTCAAGCAAGAAGTAAATTATTAAATTATGAGATATCAATTATAACATAGCCAAATTTTAAGTCACTTATAAATAAGAAATAATGAGAGAGAAAAGTTACAATAAACAAATTTATTTATCTAAAACCTTATATGCTGTGTGACGCGAAACACATTGTAATAATTCACGAATTAAATCATTTTGCATTTATAGACAATTCTGATTCTTCAATCGAGAAAGAAATTATTCAATTATAAGCCCTTTAAATCAATCATAAGCAAAGAATTAAAAGTACATGTTATATTTAAATTTATCTATCCACGATCTTATATGTCGTGTGAGACGTGAGAAACGTTTAAAGTTTCAAGAATGAATTTGTTTTACATTTATAAATATAATCCTAATTCTTCAATCGGAAGATAAATTATTGAATCATGAGTCATTTAAATAAATTATAAGGCAGGAATTGTAAAGAGTCGTGACAGTGAAATTTATTTATCCACAATTTAAAATTTTGTGTGACGTGAGAAACGTTTAAAGATTCAAGAATTAATTCGTTTCATATTTATAACCATAATCCTGATTCTTCAATCGAAAAATAAATTATTGAATTGCCATTTATATAAATTATAAGTCAAGAATTGTGAAAATTCGTGGCAAACATTTTAAATCTATTTATCCACAATTTTATATCTCGTGTGATGCGAGAAACATTTGAAGATTCACGAATGATAAATTATTAGGACCTTAACTTAGTTTCCGCCCAAAAAATACTGAGAAAAAGC